TGAAAAGGAAAACTTGCCTATAGTTAGCCTTGAACACTTCTTGGAGATTCGGCCCCTTCCGGAGGCTTCACAAAGATTTTAATAATAAGAGGGCAGGGGAGGGAAGTATCACAGAAACTAGAAGTTAGGCTCTTGGCCTTCCTTGGACCTGTTTTAACAGTGGCCCAGAAAGGCAGAATCTTCTAGAGCAGTGGTCCCCAACCTTTTTGGCACCAGGGACTGGTGCTCCTATGAGAATCTAATGCCGATTGATCTGAGGTGGAGCTGAGGCAGTGATGCTAGCGCTGGGGAGTGGCTGCAAATACAGATGAAACTTCACTCGCTCACCTGCCGCTCACCTTCTGTGCGGCCCAGGGGTTGGGGACCCCTCTTCTAGGGGTTGGAAAGTATTATTGGGTTAGCATCTGGGTGCCCCGGCTTCCAAACAGTCTCCCTGGAATTTCTGATGGCGCAGGGTTGGTGAGTGAGCCAGCAGAGCCTCTGAGACCTGAGAGCTCAAGATCTTGAGGAGGTGAGCACAGGGTCTACCAGTGTCAAGGCCCTGAATTGGGCATGTTTTGGGAGATTGCCTGCATGGTGTGTCTGCAGCGAAGGGCGAGGGCTCCTGGAGGTGCTGGTGTTCACTGCCTCACAGAGAGGCTGGCTTTGACCCTGAGTGATTGGAGCCCCAAAAGGGTCCTGCACAGAGAAGCGAGGTGGTCAGGTTTATTGAGTGATTCATTGATTGATTTTTAACTTGTATAATGGGACTTTGAATCATACACAAAAACAGAGTACAAAAAATAGTCACCCCATGTACTTTACCTGGTGCCACTGCACACTCTGTTGTTTATCTTGCTGGAATATTTTAACTGAAAACCCAGTGTTAGTACTTCAGTATGTATCTAACAGATGTAATTGTCACACCCCATGGAGCTGACAATGATTCTGGAGTCCCTTGTCACACTTGGTTCATGGGCGACTTTCTGCATTCATCTCAAAAATGCCTTTTTGTGGTTGGTGCTGGGTCAGCACCCAGTTAGTTCAAATGTGGCGTTTCACTGATATTTTTCAGCTTCTGAGTCTGAGAGAGGGTCTCCCACTTCTGATGGTGTTTGTCGAGGGTACTTTGTCCAGTAGACTTTCCCATTTGGATGTGGCAGCCCCAGGGGTCTCTACCTTGTTCCATGGTCCCCAGTCCTTTTGAGAAGGACTGTCGGGCTCAGTTCCCACCTGGGTGGGCATTGGGGTGTCGGCTGCATGTTAACTTGCTCACTAACTTGTCACTGAGCTTTGGCTTCTCCTGATGGTTGTTGCTGAAGTCTTCCATCATTCATCCAGGGTATACAGCCATGACTACTTGGGCCAACTTTGGCTCTTGGGTTTTTAGCTGACCTTTCTCAGAGGTTCAGTTCACAGAGGAAAAGCAGGCAAGATGGTCTCAGTTCATTTAAGGCCAGGCCCAGGACTTCATGTCTGGTGGCTGCTGTGTGGAGGACAAACTGAAAGGGGTAGGGGTGAAGCAGGGGGTGCGGTCAGGACCCTGATGCACCTTCGGGGTGAGAGCCTTCTCAGAGGGTCAACAGGATTAGTGATGGGGGGGAGGGGGAGGGGTGGGGAGAGTTGGGGCTTTGTGATGAGGTTGCATTACTGAGATGAAGCTGAGTGAGGGTGTAGTGGGTTGGGGTTGGAGAGATCAGGATTGTGCTGTTGACATCTCCACAGAGATACACAAGAGGCTGTTCCTGTCTCTGCAGAAAGCTCTGATTGTGATCAGCAGTATAGAGAAGGTGCCTGAGGCCAAGAGGCTGGCTGAGGTCACCAGGGAGATAAAGGACAGGAGAAAACCAGTCCTGGGTCCCCAGGCATCAGGTGAAGAGGGGAGGATCTTGTAGTGTACGGCCAGATGCCCCGCCTCACCAGCCTGTTGCCCCGCAGCAGCCCATCACGGACCCACCATGTGGGCAGGCACCAACTCAGGCTCTGTGTTTGCCTACGCCCTGGAGGTGCCAGCGGCAGCAGCAGGCAGTGAGAAGTGGCCCGAGCGGGTAGTGGAGGCTGTGCTGGGCAAGGAGGTGCAGCTGATGCATCGTGCGCCTGTGGTGGCCATCGCTGTGTTGGATGGGCATGGCCGGCCACTGCCTGAGCCCTTTGAGGCCTCGCGGGACCTGGCGCAGGCACCCGACATGCAGGGTGGCCACGCAGTGCTCATTGCATCTGAGGAGCAGTTCAAGGTAAGCCACTGCAGAGAACCCCTCCAGGCTACTGCTTCTTAGACATCATTGGACCCCCTAGAACCCTTGCCCTATTTCTCCCCTCTGCCTGCTGAGACCCCCAAGATACCTCCCAGCTAGCAGAGATGTCCCTGAAGAACCCTGATGACCCTTCAGCTTGCTGCGTTCCTGCAGGACCCTCCTACTTCACCAGGACCCCTTGACTGCTCCCTGGGCTCTGGCAGAAAGTCATGGTTTGAGGGGATACCAGCCATTTAACCATTATAACCCAGTGACTGGTTTTGCCAGATTCTCCCACGAGGGGCCTTGGGAGGATTCTGGGAGCAGTATGAAGCTAGGCAGAGGTGGTAGTGTGGCCAGGGGCACAAGCTTGAGCAGCACGCTGAGCTCCGGGTGGAGGCTGGCACTGGCATCTGGGAAGAAGGGGCCTTGGGGGTGTGCCAAGGGCCAGGCTCTGCTCATTGGCCACCTGCCCGCTGCTAGGTGTTCACACTACCCAAGGTGAGCGCCAAGACCAAGTTCAAGCTAACAGCCCACGAGGGCTGTCGTGTGCGCAAGGTGGCATTGGCCACATTTACCAGCGTGGCCTGTGAGGACTATGCAGAGACCTGCCTGGCCTGCCTCACCAACCTGGGTGATGTGCATGTCTTCTCGGTGCCTGGCCTGAGGCCCCAGGTGCATTACCCCTGTATCCGGAAGGAGGACATCAGCGGCATCGCCTCCTGTGTCTTCACGCGCCATGGCCAGGGTGAGGCGAAGGCTTCCTGGGGCAAGGGACCCGAGCAGGTCCAGAATTGCCAGGCAGTGTCGGCAAAAAGGGTGATCCAGGTTGGGGGGCACACCACTGGCCATGGTGGGGTAGGGCCTGCCAGCACATGCAGGGCAGAGACCAAGTGAGGGGCTGTGCTTGGAGTCACATCTCCTAACTGCACTCTGCTCATTCTCTCCCACCCCACCCAGGTTTTTACCTAATTTCCCCATCGGAGTTTGAACGTTTCTCCCTAAGTGCCCGGAACATCACAGAGCCACTCTGCTCTCTGGACATCAGCTGGCCCCATGATGCTGCCCGTGCCAGGTGTATGGAGTGGGTAGCCCCTAGCCCAGAAGGCCTGTGGCCAAGGCTGGTCTCATCTCCACCCCCAGATTCTGCATGGAGCAAGGGTGGCCCTCCCTGGTGTCAGCCCTCTGGTTCCAGGGCTTGGGAATGGGAGGTCAGGGATTTGGCCCTTCAGCCTTGAGGTGCCTGCCTGTGACCCCCATCACGGCCCTGTCTCTGCAGCTACAGGCTCCAAGAGTCACCCAAGCTGAACCAGGCTAATGGGACCCCAGGTGTTGTCCTGACCCCACAGAGCCGTGATGGCAGCCCCAATCCTGTTCACAGCAAGGGAACTGGTGAGGAACTGGGTGTGAAATAGGAGTAATGGGACACTGATCAGTTCAGACTTCAGTGAGGACTTGTAGGAGGTAGCAGCTGAGCCAAGGCTGGAAGCTTGGGGAGGGGCATGTCAGGCAGGAGAGGGGTAGGAGTCTATTGTTGCCATGTCCCACCATGGGCTGGGTTTGAGACTGGGTCCCCAAGTTCAGAGGATGCCTAGGGTCCCTGGCAGAGGTCTGAATACTTTCTCCCTGCAGACACCGCAGAGCCACCTGAGGCCACGCTCTCACCTATGTCCATTGACTCGGCCACCAGTGCTGATACCACACTAGACATGACAGGGGACGTCACGGTGGAGGATGTGAAGGATTTCCTGGGGTGAGGTGGGCGGGCAGGATCCACGGGAGGGGCTGTCCCCACTCACCAGCCTCCCTTCCCCACCTCAGCTAACCTAATATTTGAGCTGGGTATGCAGGACCAAGGAGGGGGCCAGACCCCAGACCCTGATCACTACTCCCTCCTCCCAGCTCTTCAGAGGAATCTGAGAATCTGAAGAACCTGGCAGAAGATGAGGCTCGAGCCTGCGCCATTCTGATTAAATGAGGTGCTGCATGTGTGGGGGACCTTGTGTCTACCTGGTCTTTACCTTTCAGCCTTAACCCCTGTGGGCCCTCTTGCCCTAGTCTTGAACCTGAAACCCTAACAGGCCCCTGTGATGGCAATACTCCCCAAGGCCCACAGACATGATTTTCATAGTTCTGTATTTAAAAAAATAAGGCTACCTATCAGCCCCCAGATGTCACGGGTGGTATTTGGAACAAGGCCAGACTAAAACAGCTTGAGTTTCAGGGTATGGTTTGGCCATTTCAGCAGCTGAAATCACCCAGGCACATAAAATTGGGCCCTCCCAGGTGAACCTCAAGACGGGCCTGGCCCCTACTCCCAGTCTTGGTGTGTCCTCCTGCCCAGCTCTGGGTTCCTTAGGTCTGCCCAACCTATTTGTTACCTAGTATCCACACCCACACAGCTGGGCACTTTACCTCCACTTTCTCTTCATCTCTTGCTTGGGACACCCCTGGCCTCAGTGGGCCAGATGTGGTCTTTGCTCAGACTTGGCCAGCCCTTTTGCCTGTCCTGGAGAGGCTGAATGGTGGTACTTGTGTGGCCAGGCCACCTGCCACTTTTGGTCTCCCTAGCTTTCAGCTGCCCCTTCTCTTCTTATACTAGGAAGGCCCAAACTACCTGGCCACCACCTGCCCTGCTCAGAGCTGGGATCCAAGACCCTTGGTTCCTGCCCGGCCCTTCGCATAGGCCTATATCTGCTAACCTTCAGGCTCCAGTGGCACCTGCCCACCCTGACCCCCAGGGCAGCCCCAGGGTGTAGCCCTGGAACTTGGCCCAGAGTCTCCAGGCTAGATTTGAACTAGATCCTCCACAGGCAGTTGGTTACCCTGGAGGCCAGATACCACAGGGGAGGACAGTTGGGGCTGGCAGCCCATGCCACCTCCCATTCCACATACCATCCTTCCCCTAATTCCTTTGCAAAGAATATTTTTCTAATGCCTGGACTGCATAGTGCCAGGCTGGACACTCATTTCGAAAACTATTTTGGTACTCGCTCTTTGGCCAGCAACTCTCTTCCCCCAGTCCAAGTACACAGGTTATGTGTACATGAGTACGTGGCGGGGTGGGGGGGTGTGATTGGGAGCTCCCTGGGCATCCAGGACTGGGGACTAGTCAGGTGTGTGTGTCGGGGGGTAGATTGGGGGGGTGGTCACTATGGGTTTTTCTGTCAATCGATTGTATCTTTGGGATTTTTCTGTTGTTTTGTTAAATTTAGTGTTGTTTTAATATTAAAAGTACTGATTTTTAATATTGAAAATAAAAGCATTTAATATCTCAAAAGGATAACCACATCTGCTTTATCCCTGGCAGGGGAAGAGGGGTGTTACATGTGAGCTCATACCAAGAGTCTAATTTTCCAGACCTCTGTGGGCACCAGTCAGGGTTACCCCCATTGGTACTGCTTGGGCTGTGCTGCTGGGGACCGTGGCACTGGAGGGTGACTGGGGCAGGGGCTGCCACCTGTATACAGCCTCTGCTGGCAGGTGGTGGATGGACAGAGGCCTTTCCTCTCCCTCACCCAGAGCTTGAGTTTTCGACTGGGACAGTGCAGGCTGATAATGGTCGCCCTAGGCCAGGGCCTTGCGGAAGGTGCTCCAGGCATGGAAACATCGGGTGAAGGCATGCTGCTCGTTACCCTTACGGACAAGGCGCAGGCGGCGGGGATGCTCGTGCTCTTTGGCTCGCATGTGCTGGATGTATACCTGGTGAGCAGGAAGTGTGTGAGCCTCAGGCCTTTCAGATTACTAGGGGCAGCCTCGGCCCTCCCCTCTACACAGCTCACCTGGCAGGCCTTCAGACTCAGCTTGATCTCCACCTGGCTTGTCTGGGTCCCTACCCACATATAGACCTGTGGGGACGGCAGGGGAGGTGGTCTCATGAGGGACTCAAGAACTCCCCTGTCTTCTGGCCTCAGAATTCCCATTTGCAAATGGGTGGGCTCCTTGAATGGGTAGGGTCAGTGGGGGTCTCACCTCTTGGCCATTGTCTAACAACATGATGTCATCATCTGCCAGGTCATCTTGGCAAAAGTCAGAGCATTTTTCCGTCACTGCAAAGTAGCCCTTCTCGTTGGAGCACCTGGGGGTTAGGGGTCAGGGAGAGGCTAAAGTCATAAGCAGTAGTGCCGGGACTCGGGCAGAAGCTGGGACAGGGGTCTGCGCCCGGCCTCACCGGAAGAGCCGAGTGTGCTTCATGTATTCGGCATCATCGTCGTAAGGCTTCTGTGCCCCGATGCCCACCCAGAAAAAGTTCTCAGGCTCCTCACCTTCATTGATGACCTGTGGGAAAAAGATTGGTCCAGCCCAGGGCCCCTGTCTGCCCTTGCTCAGTTACCTGCCCACAGCCCACCGTGGTCACCTGCTTGCTGTAGGAGGTATCAAACATGGTGTTCAGTATATCCTCTGCCAGCTTGGCCTCATCAGGGTCTGATGCCCGGCCCACCCATGCGTACACGATGCCCTGGTTGTCCTCACTCTCAAAGGGAACCTGGGGAGTACGCAGCGGGGTCAGGTCAGGTCAAGCCTACAACCCCCGACCCAGACCCATAGTCCTGGTCACATCCATGATGCTACCTTGAGGATGAAGCAGAACTCGGAGTTGAGGAGGCTGGAGTCGGTGTTGATCTGGATGCACCTGGGGGAGAGGAGTGTCAGCAAGGAATCAGGGTAGCTCAGTGACCTCACCTGCCCACCTGTGCTCCTCCCCTAGCCAGGCACCGAGTGCAGAGGGCGCTGCCATTGGTTCGAATCTGGTAGAGGCTTGGCTGCAGGGTGCCCTGGGCCACCTTCCTCTTGCCCCGGTGGATGACGAATTTTCTCTTGAAATGGGACAGGAACTTGGGGTTCTCTTGCTGCTGCGTCATTCGCACCACCTGTGGGTATGGAAGTGTTTTGAGTAGCACCCCATCCAAAGGCTTTGGGGGTATGGTTCTGAGCAAGATGCGGGGGAGGAGAGCGTGGCAGGCGCACCTCTAGCTTGCCCGGGAAGAGGCTCTCGAACTTCTTTTGCAGGCTGAAGGTGAAGGTGAGCCAGCCCATGTTGGAGGCTTCACGGCCCTGCCAGAAGTACACGATGCATTGGAAGTCCTCCTCGGGCTGTTTCTCCTCCGCTTCGGTGGCTGCCTCTTCACCTTCTTTGCCCTCAGCCCCAGCCTTTTCCTCCTCTTTCTCTTTCTTCTCTTCTTCCTCGTATTCCACAGGGACCCAGTATCTACAGGGTCAGAGGGCAGTAAGCAGGGGCCCCCCAAGCACCAGGGTAGGGGCCTGCCAAAGGAGGTGTGCTGAGACGGCACCTGCAGAGGAAGACGTAGCAGTCCTGTGTGTAGAAGTGGCCAAACTCTTCCTCAGGCAGCCGCGCGAACTTCTTACCCTCGAGCACGAAGCCCTCCATGCCATCCAGGTCCTCATTCCACTCCTCCATCAGCTGCTCGGCCTGCATGTGAAGGTTTCTGGTGGGCTGGGGCTGGCCCCTCCTCAGTGACAAGGGACACAGAGCTCCTCCCAGGACAGGCCCCAAGGCTGTCAGCTCAGGCCAACTACTCCCAGCCTCGCCCTGTCCCAGGCCTCGCCCCCACCTCAGCTAGCGCCATGGGCGGCTGCCGGGGCAGGAACAGCGCAGTGAGGTCAGCTTTCATCTGATCTTTCTTCTCGGCATCGCGCTTCACCTTCCCGGTGAGTCCTGAGCCCTGCAGCACGGCTTCTGCATTGCGCGTGTAGTCCACTGTCAACACGTCATCCCAATTTTTGAACTTGGCTTTGAACACCTGCCAAGGGGGTGAAAACAGGAGCTGGAGTGGGGGTCTGCCCGGTTAAGGTTGGGGTAGGAGGTCAGAATGCAGGCACATCCCTGTGAGGGCAGGAACTAGGAACCAGAGCAGGAAGAGCGAATTACAGAAAGGTCAGGGCCTAGGCATCAGTGTGAAAGCGGTGGGCTTGGGCCCAGCTCTGTAGGGTGGTAGCAGATCCACAGAGTCAGGGCTTGAACCAGTCCGCAAGATCAGGGGCATGGCCTGCGCAGCTGGGCTGGACTGCACACCTGTGCCTCAGTGCCCTCAAGGCTGCGGCTGACCGTGGCGTGGCGTGGCCGGTGTAGCATCCCGCACAGCTCCTGGCCCAACTTGAGGGCTGCAGCACGCACCAGGCGCGGCGACTTGCGCCCAAGCCAGATGAACACATCAGACCAACAGTCCAGGATGTACACGCATCGCGTGTCCAGTAGGCTCTGCAGCTGCGGAGCCAAAGGAAAGAGGTCAACTGGTGCCAGGCCTTCGGTGAGGGAGCCCAGCCTCCTCCCCTCACTTCCTGTGTGTCTCACCAGCCGCATCCCCGGCATCAGTTCCACCTTGGGTCGCGTCTTATGTTCCACAGACAGCTTGTAGTTGATCTGTGGCAGCTCCAGGTAACCCAGACCCAGGCCCACCTGGCAGGAGAAAGGTGAACGTAACAAGGGCAAGATCTGGAGACAAAAGCCCCAGCCACAACAGCCCCTAGTTTGGAGCCTCGCCCAGCCTTGCTGTGTACAGTCAGGTCCACTGCCTCTTCCTCTCTGAGCTTTAGTTTCCTCCTCCTCCCCAAGGTCATTTTAAGGATATCCTATCAGTAGGCGGCTTTTAAATGGTGCTTTCCTGCCTATCCTCCCCCAGTGCTGTCATTTCTAATTCTCTAACTTGTCCTTTTTTTCCTGCTCACAATCCTCCATGGTTTATTGTCACCTACAGAATTAAGGCCAGCTTCTCAAGCCTGGCACCCTGGCACTCTGGCCTCCACCTCCAGCCCCACCTTCCAGGAACCACACACCCTAAACACTGTTCTCATGGCTTGACTCAGAGCAAACCTCCAGACCTTTACTCAGGCTATTCCCTGTCCAGAAGGTGGCACCCTCTCCACACCAAAGTCCAGATGGAGACCACAGTCACCACAGTGGTGCACGGCCCACTCTCCCAACTTGACCACTGGTAAAGTCAGGCCAGCCCTGCACTAAAACTCACCTTATATAGCTTAGGCTGGGGTGGCCAGAAATCATCAGGCACATGCTTCTTGATCTCGGAGGGCTCACCACCCAGTGCCCCCCAGAACTCTGGGGGCTCTTGGCCTTGCACCAGCAATGTGATCTCTGCCTTCCCTTTCCGCTCGTTTTTGTTAATTTTTTCTGCAAAGAGCCTAAGCGAAGGTGCAAAGTCCTCAGTAAGGCCCATACCCCTTCTCAGGTGACAATTTTTCTTTACACAAAACCCTGTTTGAGCAGGGTGTAGTCTTTGTACCTGGCCTTGGTAGTGCCACTCAGTGTGGCCTGGGTCCCCCGCCACACGTAGATGTCCAGCCCTTGGTCCAGCAGGAAAACAAACCTGGACAGAAAGGGCAGGAGGGGCTGTGATGGGTATAGACAATGACTGCCCCCAGGCCCCAACCACACCCCTGGGGTTTTACCCCCTTGCTGGTTGGTCCTGCTAAGCTTTGTGGGACAGGAGTTAAAAGGGCTGCTGGAAGGCCGCTTCTTCTAGAGCCCACATCTGCCCCTCACTGGTGGGGAGGAGGTTCAGGGTCAAGCACCCCCACCTCACATCATGAGGACTCACCTCGGGTCCAGAGAGGCCCCCTTGAGTGGCACAGGCTCCAGTTTGATGTTCTTTTTCCCATACACGCGGTACATCCTGGGGGCCGGAGCAAAAGTGGCTTGGAGGGGGCGCTAAGGGACCAATTTACCTCTTAATACCCTTCCCTCAATCCTTCCCAGCTGATTCCAGGTCAGTGTCACTCACCCGCACACCCCCTCACCTGGTGACATAGTGTGTGTCCTCCACAGTGTAGAAGCCACTGGCTGTTCCACCCTCGATGTAGGCGATGTCGTTGTCAAACACCTGTGTGAGAGTGCAGTCCATCACTGAGCTGCCCCTGTTCCCCTTGTGTACAGGTGCCTCAGGTGCTACAAACCCATGATAAAGTTAAAAAGGAAGAATAAGATCTATCTATAAATAGACACGTATTGGAGTGTTAAGATAGACAAAAATAGTAATGTGTTCACTCTTGTGCCAGTTTGGATATACACAGCATGTTCAGATATGCGCAAATCATGGTACAGAAGCAAGCAGGTTTATGGAGGGCAAAGTTGGGTCAATCAGTAAAATCTAATGTGTATGGCCTTGTCTACACGTAACCAGCTGGCAGGTGGACCAGCTCAGCTCACTAACCCTGCTCACTGGACTCAGTCTCAATCTTAGCCCTGCCTCCTTGGTGCTCAGCTTGTGGCCCTGCCCACTAACTGCTACTGGTCCCAGATTCCCATCTCTCTTCAGGTATCCACTGATCTTTGGCCTCGTCTGCCTCCCCTGACCTCACCCTATTTGTCCCTGCCCTCTCTGCTTTAAGTCCCAACCCAAAAATCTTTGGTCTTAGTTTCCTGCCCCCTCCCATTAACCAAACCCACCATCCTTGCCCGGTCCCTCCAATCCCACCCCTGCAATCCTACCCCTCCTGAAGGCCCCTCCAGCCCACTGGTACCTGCAAGAACTCCTCGCTCTCATCTCCCATCTCTTCCCGCACAGTGCGGCACTCCGCACCCAGGTAGTTGCGCAGGTTCACCGCGTGGATAGCAGAGCAAGCCTTCTTGTCGAGTGTGGCCTCCCCACCGATCCAGTAGTAGATCTCCCAGTTCAGAGAGCCGCTGTCATCCAGAAAGGTCTGGAAGACAACCATGTCAGACCTCACCGGACAGTCCTGGCTTCCCAGCTCACGCCAGAGAGGCTGCTCTGATGGGCAGAGGTTCCTTAGCCCCAGGACAGGTGCACCGCCCACACTTCTGCCTGGGCCATGTCTACCTGGCCTTATTGGCAAAACCTTACCCCCCTACCTTGCCTCAGTGAACAAAATTGTGAGATTGGGGATTCTGCGTTATCTAAGATGAGGTCACTGGGGGTTCATGTAGCTCCTAACGGTGTGCCTGACTCTCACCTTGAGCACGATGTAGCAGTCAGCTTCATAGAACTTGCCATGTAAGGCTTCCTCCACCAGCACAGGCACAAAGTTCTCGATCTGCCAAATGGTCAGGCCAGGCAGTTGGCCCACATCCTCTGTGAAGAACTCTGAGTAGTCGAGGCGAGGCTTCTCCAGGCCCTGGTCCCAGCGCCGCACCTTGCCCCCGGGGGCTCGGGTGTCAGTACTCTCCTGGAGTCACAGTAACAATGCATGGGTTGACTCTGTGACTCAGGTTGGTCTCTCTACTTACCACCCACCTCGGGGCCTTTGCCCAGGGCCCCCTCCCTCTCTTGACCTGTCTCACAGTCTGTCTTGAGCAGAGCCTAGGGCTACCTGTCCTGTCCCAATCACTGGCCTAACTTACCTCCTGCTTTTTATTCTTCTCCTGGGCCACGTCTGACATGCCCTTCAGCACCTGCTTGGCTTGGTCATCCTGGGCTGAGTCTTTGCGCCTCCGTAGCCGCATCTTCCGAGCCAGGGGGTCCTTGGGCCCACCCCCTGCTTAGGGGAGGGGCAAACAGCAGAGCTCTAGCTGGGCCTGCCCCCTGGGGTATCCAGCAAACCAGGAGCCAACCCCATCCACCAGGGTCTAAAGAGCAGTGTCTCACCCAGCTTATGGATGGATTAAGTAAAGCATCAGAAAAGAACCCCCAACTCTCAGGCCAGACTGTCCCCTGCTTACCAGCTGCTGCCGCAGCCACTGTGGCAGGAGAGGCACCTGCCAGCTGTAGCTGGTTCTGCAGTGAGAAGTCAATGTTGTACCACTCGGCAGTGCGGTCAGCAGGCTTGGGAGGCATGACCAGGCTGGGGTTCTCCCGCACATCCAGGACCTGTTTCATGGGTTGAGCAGAGGTGGTGCTGAGCCTGAGTCTTACCTCCTAGCCACACCAAACCCAGTTTCTTGCTCTTTGCAGGCCTGAGAGGTCCAGGGCTGGGGTCAGGGGTCTGGGTTCTCATCCCAACTCTGTGGCTGCCCATTGTGAGCTTTAGTTTTTCCTTCTGTGAAATGTGACCCTGTGGGCTGGCTGTGGGACTTAAATGATGCTGTCTAGCATATGGATACAGGGATGTGGCTTACTTTCTTCCCAAAAGCACCCTAGCATTGGCCACCCCTCCAGGAGGCCTCTGCTGGATTCCCTTCACTCTAGTAACACTTTTGAACTTGGTCTTTCCTGAAGCTCTGTCTGTACCTCTGCCCTCGCCACCAACTCCAACCTCAAACCCCACCCAACTTTCAGCGCTGGCCAGGGCTTGCCCTGACCTCTATCTCCGTCAGGAAGTGGATGGCCTCTGGGAGGGTCACCAGGCGGTTTTTGTTCAGGACGAGTTTCCTCAGCTTTGTGCACCTGTGAAGACAGAGCCAGGGCCTCAGGGAGGTAAAAGCGGGGCAGGGAAGCTTCCAGTCCTGGGAGAAGGGAGACAAGTAGGGCCAGGGGACTGAGCTGCCCACCTAGTTAAGAAACCAGTGGGCTTTAACATGTGGAAAGGGAGGGAACGTTGGAGCACAGGGAACTGGAGTCTCCTCACAGCTAAGTGACTGGGAAGTTCTTTTTTGACTTTGATGGAGCACGACTTTCCCAAGTGGACTTCTGCAGATTAAGGGCCCCTGGATACAAACAAGAGGACACCAAAAAACATGTTCTGTCCTCAAATTACTCTGGAAGCTGCTGGGGGCAGCAGTTCTCTATTCTCTGCCTGAAGAATTTCTGAGAGCCAGGAGACCACACTAGTGGACATTGTGGCCTCCAGAAGGGCATGGAAGCAGCATTGTGTCTGCAACTCACACAGCAACGCCTCTGGCCTTGTCCCTATCGGTGTCCTCCCAACGAGTGCTCTGGGGAACCCAGATTTGGGTTGCTGGCACAGGACTATGGGGTCTTTATTCGTGAAGCCAAATTAACCTATCTATTTTGTATGATGCACAAAGACCACAAGGTGGGTTCCCGCTGATTCTGGGGTTTTCAATGCTGTGATCCCCCTGCCCCACTTGCCCAGCCTTGCCCCAACACCTGCAGAGGCTTTCAGGAATCAGCTCCAGGTTATTGTTGGCAGCCATGAACTCCTCCAAGCAGGCCAGCTTGCCAATGCCTGAGGGCAGCCCATCAAAGTCCAGTTTGTTAGAGTTCAGGTATAGCTTCTTCAGCTTGGTCAGCTTGCAAATGGCCGACTGGAGGGGAAGCAGGCAGGGGCAGGAGTTAGGGGTAGCAGCCAGGGTGGCACAGCATCCTTCCCGTACTCCTCCCCAGGCCGGGACGCACAGGCAGTGAGGTGAGCTGATTGCGGGACAGGTTCAAGGTCTCCACATGCACCCACTGGTCGATGCACAGGGATAGCTCCGTGATCTGGTTGCTGCTGAGGTTCAGGCGGCGCAGGCTGTGGAGGGTGTACAGGCACTCAGGAACCCGTGTCAGGTCGTTGCAGGAAAGGTCCACATCTAGGGCACAGGGTGGGGCACATCAGCCAGGGCCCACACAGCCAGCAACCAGTCCTAGTTTGAACCCCAGCTCTACCACCTCGAGGCTCTGTGAATTTCAGCAACTGACTTAACCTCTTAGAGCCTCCATTGCTCCATTTGGAGAAACTTCCTTGTACCAGTGGGTCTAAATATGAAGTCGGTGCTCATAACTTGGTGTTACTACTAGTCATCATAATGACGGGGATGATTATATAACCATATCCTTCCCTTCTGGGAGGTGGTCAGAGAAGTGAGGTTCAATCCCTTCCTCCATAGGGACCTGAGGGGACCAGAGCCCAAGGGGTCACCAAGGGGACTGCCAACCTGCAAGGTTGCTCAGGCCCTCCAGGCTGGTGGGGAGGTTGCCCTGGGTGCGCTGGGTGTTCCTCAGGTGCAGGGTCTGCAAGGCTGTCAGAGCTGGGAGCTGCCTGCAGGGAGACGCAGGTGGTCAGGCCAGGCACAGGGCCAAAAGCATGGGGCCGAGAGAGTCTGAGGGGACAAGGCCAAACAGGCTGTGCGGTGGAGTGGAAGGGACAGGGGATTGAGATGGGGCCTGGCCGCGGGGCACAGCCCACACCGAACCCAAAGTGGGAAGGGCCAGGGTCACTGGGGAGCTGAGGGACCAGGCCAGATTCTCCAGGGGTGAGTTCTGGAAGGGTGTGGCCTGAGCGGTGCCAACCGGAGCTGTGCATGTAACAGTGGGTTCCCGTTGAGCACGAGTGTCTGTAGGTGCACCAGGCGGCGCATCTGTGGAGGCAAGCTTTCCAGGCAGTTCTCGCTGAGGTCCAGGTACAGCAGGTCAGTGAGGTTGATGAAGAGTTGGTTGGGAATGGTGTCGATGCTGTGGGCAGGAGGGACAGAGAGAGGGAGTGAGGCAGGCAGGGGCTGCCCAGTCAGTGCCACATGCCCACCTCCAGGACCTGCCTGCTCCCCACTGTGTTGTGGCCCTGCCCAGTTCCCCTACCCGGCCTGACAGGCACCTGTTGTGACTGAGGTTCAACACCAGCATGTTCTTGGCATTCTCCAGCTCCCGCGGGCACTCTGTCAGCTGGTTGTAGCTCAAGTCCTGAGTAGGAGGGGTGAGACAAGGTCAGGGGTGTCAGCATTGGTCCTACCTTGCCAGTCCTCTGCCAGGCTGGGGGATCAGCCAGGGCACTGAGGGGAGTAGATGAGAGGGTTTCAGGGCCAAAGGAAGACAGCAGGGCCCTGGGAAGAAGGGTGCCTAAGTTAAAGATCTGAGTAACCTTGGGCAAGGCACTGCTTACTCTAAGCCCCTGTTTCTCTGTATGTAAAATAGGATAACAATGGCCCCAGGGACCATCAGAGTGGGTGGGTAACCACTGACCAGGACTGAGAGATCATCCAGCTTGAAGATGTCATCAGGGACTCCAGAATTCTTCAGGCTGTTGGCTCGAGCCACGATGGCCTGGGGATAAACCATGGGAGTCTATGACTCCTGGCTTCTTCCTCCAGGAGAAGCAGAGAGTTGAGGGAGAAACACCTCCTCAGGAAGTTTACTGGAGGCCAGGCCTGAATGCTCTTCCACCTTGGTCTTTACTCATAGTCCCTCTACTTGGCAAGCTCTTCCTAGCCTCCCTGTGAGCTCCTATTCACACCTCAAAGCCCAGCTCAAATGTGCCCTAGAGCCCAGCACAAGGTCCTCAGGGAAACTCATCTCAATTCCAGAGGGCAAGATAGGGGTGTAGGTCTGAGTCACGGGCTTCTAGAGCAGAGGGAGAAGGCTGGCCCAAAGAGAAATCAGATACGGGCTGAGCAAGTCTGTTTTCTCTCCCCTTAGGGCTGAAACCTTCTCATACTACAGACCTGTAGAAAGTTTAAGGGGGAGAGAGAACAGGCCAGGGAATAGTGCCATGATGGCAAGTAACAGCAGGGCACAGGGAGGCTGCTGCCTCTCCTTTGGCCCTTATGTCTGTGTGGTGCCATGCTGCTTCACAGCGGTCTCCCACTGAACCCCACCCCCCTCCCTCCTGCCCAAAGAGTGGACTAGTCCAAGGTCATACACCCAGGAAGTGGCAGAGGTGATGTGAATTCAGGCAGCCTGTATCCAGAGGCTGTGCCCTTAACATCTCAGGGCTCCACCCGTGGATGGAAATGACCTTTGCCAAGGCCTAGAGGGTCTGGCCAGGAGCCTGATGGTCTGGAGTGTCAGAGGCTCCGTAAAGAGCAGAAGGATGAGCAAGCCACCCCGACCACCTCCGCTCCTGGCTAAACCCACCTTAACCCAGCTCTACCACTGCCTGGCTGTGTAACCTCTGGCAAGTGACTTGCCTCTGTGGCCAAGTGTCCTCAGCTGTGAACATGGTAGAAGTCAGAATTATAAGAAAAAAACCCACATAAAATAGTTGGGTTTTAGCCACTAACAGTTGTTATTGTAGTTGTTAAAAAAAAAAGGTGAGACTCTGGATTTCTTACTTTGTTTCCCCCATAGGTTACTTAACACAGGGCATTATTATATCCTCAAGCTTCCCTTAGGAACAAGCCTTTGAGTCCGACACAGGGATGGGCAGAGGTGCTAGCCCAGCTTGGGATCTGGCCCTGGCCTCATATCTCTGGCTGGACTCCAGTCCCCAACTCCAAGTTTGGTGGCCTCCAGCAGCACTCACCCGAAGTGATGGCAGGCTCGACAGCTCTCCATGAAGTGTGGTCAGGTTGTTGTGGCTCACAGACAAGTGCTCCTGGGCCGAGAGAAGAGAGTAGAGGCTCAGTGGAGTAAGCAGGGTGTCTATATAGAGTCCCCATCTGCCACCACAATCTTGCACCATCCAAGGTGGCCCTCAACAAGAGTGGCCCAGTCCACCTCTGCAGTCTCTCTCTCTCACAGACCTGGCCTTCTTGTATACCTCACAGGATAGGGTGCTCTCTCTGTCTCTGCCAGCTCTGCTCATGGCTATCAACATCTTCTATGTCATCTGCCTTCTGCACAGGCTCTGCCCCACCCGACCTAGCCCCATCCACAGAGACCCACCCTGTCTGCTGAAGCCCCTTACCAGCTTCTGTAGGGAGGCCAACTCCTCCGGCAGGTATTTTTTTCAGCCATCGCAGACTTGTCATGGCTTTAACATTCTCAGGGAAGTAGCCTCCCTGTGGAGTATGTCATGGTGAGGCTGGTCTGGGAGAGGAATGTCCCTGCTATACCACCCTCTATGGCTCCAGCTGCCCATGTAAGCCTTTGGGGGAGCAACAGAGCCAACTCTCTCACCAGCTGTGTGACCCTGGACAAGTCACTTTGCCACTCTGTGCCTCAAGTTCCTCATCCATAAAATAGGGCTAATAAAAGCTCCCTCATGACAAAAGTATTGTGAGGACCAACTGATTATCAGGATGGCTGCTGGCCTAAATCTGTCTTGCTGGATTCTGAGCCCCAGGAGGGTCAGGATGAAACTGGCTTGTTTCAGGTGCTACCCCAGCGTCCAGCTGTGTGGTTAGCTTGGCTCAAATGCCTTCGCCCAGATTTCCAGGACCTGCTTAGGTCACCTGGGATGGGGGTACTCCCTGAGCCTCTGTTCCATCTGTGCCCCCACCGTTCCATCAATATACAAGCCATCTGTGGCAAGGTCCAAACTTCCAGTGCAAGGCCCTAGCTCCCCACCCTTCACAGGTACTGTCTCATTCATTCGTTTATCCATTCATTTCCCACATTTGAATGCCCACCTCAGTACCTTCCAGCCCTTGTGGCAGGGAGCCTGGGGTAGCACGTACGTGCCTTCAGTGCCCTTGGCTCATGTCCCCTCCCTTCCCCCTGAAGCCACATTCCCCACCAGTGACTCAGACTCCCAGTCTGGGAGAATACTTGGAGATACCAGGTGAGGATGGTTGGGAAGGAGGCTGAGAAAATGATGTAGTCACTTGTGCATGGCGTCAAACGTGTGTGCACCTGTGGGTAAATGCAGGCAGAACCTGTCTGCCTCCACAGCCCTGGTCTAACCCCTGACCATAGCCAAAGCCTGGTCTCCCAGACTCTGTAGACTCAGGCTGACACTAAACTGACTCCAGTCTGCATCTGCCCACTCACCCACCCTGAAGCCTGGGCTGACCCTCTTAGTACCAGGCCAACTCTCACCTTCACTCCTGCCTTGCCTCCTCTGGTCACTTCACTGCTCACCTCATCCTTGACTCTAGAACCACCTCACTCACCAACTGGCTGGAAGGCTGGGCTCAGGCTCTATATGGCCCTGGTCTATAAGTCCAGCAGCCGCTCAGACCACCGCCACCCAGGGCTTTGCACTCCTCACACGCTCTCCATACCAACTAATCCATGCTTCCAAGAGGACTACTTTTAAGCTCCTACACTGGATGAGAAGACAGAGGCTCTGAGAGGGGAAGTGACTTGCCCAAGACCACACAGGATGGCGGGGGCAGGGCAGTGGCAGTGATGAGCTATAGACCCGCCCCAAGACAGCCGGCAGCGCGGTAGTGAGTCAGGGCCTGGCTTGGGCGTGTGACCTCAGTGGGTCGGGGAAGGGGGGCTGCGGGGACAGCAGCAGTACTCAACGACTCCCGCCCTACTCTCCGGTCGGGGCGGGGCCAAGACACCAAGACAAGGGGTGGGGGCTCCGGGCCCACGCCCTGGTGTGACTTCGAGCCCACACGTCCGCGCCGGCCCGGTCTTCCCATGCGGGCACTGAGCGGAGGCCTTGGGAATTCGTTCGAGGCGGGGGACTCGAGGCCCGGGAGAGCCCCACCCGACCCCGTTTGCAGTCCCGGGTGGCACTGGGCCCGGAGGCGGGCGGGCCAGGAAGCGGAGACCGGCACAGGCCGGAGCGGAAGAAACAGCCTGGAGGAGAGCCCGGCCCACCGCCAGGTCAGCTCACCTTGAAGTCGTTGCCACTGAGATCCACGCCGCGCACGAACGGCAGCACCCCGGTGGCCTCCATGGCGCCGTTCTCGCTGCCGGGCCGGGCCAAGCGCGGGCGGCGGGGGGGCGGCCGGGAGAGCCACGGGCTGGGCCATTGCCGACCCCGCCCCTTTAACCCGCCCCCGCCCGGGCCCGGCGCGAAGGCGGAGTCCCGGCCGCGCCACTCCAGCCTGGGCGTCTCCAGACACATTGCGGGGAGCACTGGCACTCTCCCTTGGGGGCATTAGGCTTCTCCGGACCTCAGTTTCCCCGTCTGTTCAAGGACTGGAGGGGACTCGAGGAGTCCGGGCGTCCCGTGTGCTCGCGCAGGAGACTTCATAACCTACAAGCTAAGTCCCTGACTCCCAGAGCAGGGGGTTTGTCACAGGCTCTGCAACACCTGTCTCCTGCACTGCAGTAGCTGAAGTTGGCCGTGGCCGGAAAGAGATCCTGGACCCAGGCCCGGGAGCGCAGCGGCCCAGGGAGTTTCTATCCGCCAGCCAGGCCCTGCGTGGCTACCATTGGTAGTAGGAGCCTACGCCCTTGGGTCCTAAAGCTCTGGGCAATCCTAGGCCTGCTCCTGGCCTGTTTCCTCATCTGTGGAAGCTTCCTAAGGTTGTTGCCAGAAACAAGTGAACAAACGCAGGTGTAGCTCATGGCATACAGCAGTCGCTCAATAAATGGCGTTATGATTTTCAATTGGAGTCACCACCCCCTGTCCATTTATCTGCTTCTCGCCCTCCCTGGCCGGCACATAGTAGGCCCCCAATAAATAAATGCCGAATGAACAACAAGTTATATGCACAACCAATCATTCACAGGGGTGGAGGATGTCTGGTGTTCCTATTTCACAGGAGAGAAAACTGAGGCCCTGGTCAAGAAGTGGCCCACACAAGGTCACACAGAGCAGGAGGCAAGGGTAGGCCCCTGAGTCACGCTGTGTGCCCAATGGGCCAACAGATATTAACGAGGCCACCAAGACACTCTCGCAGAGGCAATCAAAAGGGTCAGACCTTCAGGCCTCTGGGCCAGCTACCGCCTGTCTACCCAGCCCCTGGAAAGAACGCGGGCCCCGATAGCTTTCTGCACAATAGAGGCTCACATACATAAGAAGCGCACACACTTTACGATGGGCTCCAGGTGTCGGCTCATTCCGCAAACTGCCACTACATAACTGGACTACGGGATGGGAACTCATTCCTGCGCCTTTAAATTCGGGGTGCGTCGAAAAGTCCCGCCCCGAGGGAGCGCGCAACCTGGTTAGGGGGCGTGGCCTGGCCACTATTGGCTAAACCACGAAGTATTTTGGAACAAGGGCGCGGGCCTTGAGCGCTTCGATTGGAGGTAAGCCCTCGTCGTCTGCGTGCGTTCCGGGCCTCAGCGTTCGGTTCTCAGGTCTTTCACATTCCATTCCCGAGCGGGTGCGGGTCGGCGCGCTGAACCCGCGACGCGGGTACGTCCGGAGCGCGGTAGGGCGGCCCTCATCACCTAGGCCCCGGCATTGAGGGTGCCCCCGACGCAAGTCGGGGGCGTGGCCTCCGCCAGAGCTCGCGGTCTGGGCCAGGGAGGGAGGGAATGGCTTTGGGCCCCCAGGCCGGAGTTCGAATTCCGCCTTGGGTACTTCAGTGAGTTTCTCAGGGCCTCGGTTCCTTCTCCTGTGAACAGGGCCTTCACAGTCTCTTAGGGGCTGCTGTGCGGCCCGCTCAGCCCGGCCCTAGGTTTGTTGTAGGAGAAGAAGGACAGGCGACATCCCAGGGGTCCTTGGGGCCCGAATGCACAGAGTCGGGTTATTTTTAACCATGCACACCCTTTCTCCCTGCCTGGAGTTGGAGTGCTCCGGGTTGGGGCCAGCGTGATCCCCCTAGGGGTTGGGCTGAATCCCTAGTTAAGACAGGTGGGGGTTGTTGAAAGCGCTTTAGTTTGCACTCTGTATTGCTGGTCCTAGCGGAGGAGGCCGGTGACGGTTCTGATAATCTATGAGGGAACAAACTGGCTGCTGGGCTGCCTTTGACCAATCCAGGCCCAAGTGCCTATTTTTAGTTTGGGCAAATGGGGGGCGGGGGTTGGGGCTGAGTCCTTAAGTGCTTCAGGCTTCAGCTGTTCCAGGAATCTGGACATCTGGCACTCACAGCCTGGCAGAGAGGGCTGAAGTCCTTGGTGCCCCAGCTGGCTCTGAGCTCAGGGTCATCTGCTTAGGCGCTTTCAGTGAGACACTTATGCCTAGTCCCCTGAGCTTGCTCCCTTGATCACACACCCCCTCAGCTCTCACGGCTTGAGGGCAAGAGTCCCTCTAGAACTTGAGGCTGGGGCTTGGCGCATGGGGTCCTGGGAGAGTGTCTCTTCCTCTACTTCCCAAGTGCTGGGCCCCACCCATCCTCACTGTTCTGGGCTCCTCACTTTTAACCCTTTCTCCTTGCTGCCTGTGCCACTTTACAGGAGCTTCAGGCCCTCAGTTTACCTTCTCTGTTACTTGGGCTCCCCACAGCTGAGGACAGCTCCCACATACACACCATTGTCCCAAGTGGCCTAGAGAGGCCCCTGTCCACAGGCATTGGGCCAGTGCTCTGTTTGGAGTCTTTGTGTTTAGAGTTACCTTGCCAGCTGTCTTGACAGTGGGGCCTTTGGCATTAACTGGCATTTACCTATTGACATCCTCCATCCCCCATCTATCTTGTCCCACCCCCGGCAGCCTGGGCCATCTCACTGTCCTTTGACTTGATAGCTATGCTTCTGGGGGCTACCCTGTTGAGATTTGGGGGTAACTGGCCATACTGAGGTCCCCTAAAGGTCTGAGAGGCCCTTTAGGGCGGGCTCTCTAGGACCTCAAGTTGTGGTTTTCGCCAGACCTTGTTTCTTCTTGCTGTGCCTAGCCCTGATTAAGAGCCAAGGCGAGTCAGCCTCTAGAGCTTGATCATAAGGCTGGGGAACTGAGAGGACTCCAGGGATAGACGAGAGTCTAGAGGCTTTACAGTTGTGGGTCCAAGTATCCACTATTCAGCAGCCTGTTTCTAAAATTGGGGTGATGATGAAATCTCCCTTTTGGGTCTTTGGTGATGTCAGGAGTCCTGGAGGGTAGGGCTGGGGAGATTGGCCCCCCTCTCTGACCTGCTGCAGGGCCTTTCTGTGTGAGCCATCCTGTCCAGGGGATAGGTAGGTTATTTGCAGGTTTAGGGAAAGGGGCTCAGGCAGTTCCCTATCTCCTCAGCAGAAACCCTTCGAGTGGTCCCTTTCTCTTGAAACTTTCAGGAATCCCCCACATGGGCTTGACTCGCAACCCCAGCATGATAGCAGCCAGAGTGCCTACCCACCCCTGCCCCATTGCTAGCCTGCCTGCCCCACACTTTGTTCCCTGCACCCTGACTCTCTTATAGGCAGACAGACATGGCAGAGTTTTCCCAGAAACGGAAGAAGCGGCATGACGACGACATGCTGGGCAGTGCTGTGGACTTCCTCCTGGCCAATGCCCGCCTGGTACTGGGCATGGGCGGGGCTGCCGTGCTGGGTATTGCCACCCTGGCTGTGAAGAGGGTAAGGCCACGCTGGACCAGTTACACCTGGGGCTCCCAGAGGAGGATGACAGGGCTGAAGCCTACAATGGGGTCATGGGTCATGGGGTGAGGAACCTGGTTTGCTTTGCCCCAGGGCTTTGCCATGGTTCCCCAGGCTTTGGATGTTCTGATATGTCACTCTGCCTGCAGCTCATTGATAAGGCCACCGGCCCTCAGGACGAAGATGACACTAAGGGGGATACCACATCCCTGGAGGACAGTTGGAAAGAACTGAGCCTGCTCAAGGCCACGCCACGCCTACAGTCCCAGTCCCCACCTGCTGCCCTCAGCCAGCCTGTGCTGCTCCCAGCCCCCTTGCCCTCTGCCCCAGGTGAATGGCACCCCTTCCCCTCTAACCTGGGTGGGTACCCCTTTGGTGGTCACATTCAGGAAATGTGACCAGGCCCTGCCACTGACTGACCCTGCGACCTATGCAAGTCTCTGCTTCTCCAAGCACATGGGCTCCCTGCATGTTTATGGTGGTGTTTCTCTGCCCTCCTACTTCCTGTGTGGTGCTGAGGCTCCAGCCACTGGAACCTGTGGACTTCAGGGATGGTACTGGAGCAGGGCAGAAGCCATATGACGGGAGGCCTCAGATGGGGGAAACTGCATGAAGCTGTTTTGACCCCAGAATGTTGGGGATTTGGGGCAATGAGAATTTGTCATCAAAATGTTCTTTTTAAGTGAGGACCTGAGCTAAGTACTTTCTCAAGTGGTCATTTTACAGGTGAGGAAAATGAGGGCCAGGGCTGGCACACAGTAATTGGGTAGAGTTCTCTTGGCTCGACACAGGGACTTCTGACATGTTCCCTGGCCCTTTCACTCTGCAGAGGGGCCCACAGATGCCGACCCTCAGCCGTCGTCTCAGCTTAGCCCCCCAGCACCATTGTGCCTGACGTTCCAGGAGAAACTGCTGGTGTTTGAGCGGGACCATGTGACCATCCCATTGTCCCATGTGGCTCTGGCTAAACAGCTGGCCGGAGACATTGCCCTGGAGCTACAGGCCTACTTGAGGAGCAAGTTCCCTGAACTGCCCTTTGGGGCACTTGTGCCTGGGGGGCCGCTCTATGATGGCCTGCAGGCAGGGGCCGCTGACCACGTGCGTCTCCTGGCACCCCTGGTGTTGGAGCCAGGCCTGTGGAGCCTGGTACCAGGCATGGACACTGTGGCTAGGGACCCTCGCTGCTGGGCTGTGCGCAGGACTCAGTTTGAGTTCCACCCCCGGGGAAGCAGCCCTTGGGACCGCTTCCTGGTGGGTGGCTACCTCTCTTCCCGTGTCCTACTGGAACTGTTCCGCAAAGCACTAGCTGCCTCCGTCAATTGGCCAGCTATTGGCACCCTTCTTGGGTGCCTGATCCGGCCCTGTGTAGCTTCAGAGGAGCTGCTGCTGGAGGTGCAGCATGAACACCTGGAGCTCACTGTTGCTGTGCTTCTCACGGTCACTGGTGCCAGTGTTGGAGACCGCCTCCTTTTGGCCTGGCCTCTGGAGGGGCTGGCTGGGAACCTCTGGCTGCAGGATTTGTACCCAGCAGAGGCCGCCAGGCTACAGGCTCTGGATAACCATGATGTTGGGACCCGCCGGCGGCTGCTGTTGCTGCTCTGTAGTGTCTGCCAAGGCCACCCAGCCCTGGGGCGGCTGGGCCGGGGCCACCTGACCCAGGTAGTTCTGCGTCTTGGGGAAGAGGAGGTAGAATGGGCTGAAGAGGCCTTGGGGGAGCGCTTCCTTCAGGCTTTGGAGCTGCTCATCATCAGCCTGGAGCGGGCCAGCTTACCCTGCCATTTCAACCCTGGTGTGAACCTCCTCAATGGCCTGCATGAGGAGGAGATTGATGACATTGGCTATGCACTGTACCTTGGCCTGCAGGCCCCCGAGGGCCTGCTGTAGGTGGGTAGGAAAGGGCAGCCAGCATGTGTTCCGATGCTGGTCAGCCGCACACTCTTCCTTCCAGGGATTTGGAGAGCATTTTTTTTTTTTTCAGGCAGAATAAAAGAGAGTGCATTACCTAAGCCCACAGGATTAGCATGTGTAGAGGTGACAGTTACTGGAACCTTGACCTCAGAGAGCTTGGGTTGCTGTCACCTGAGTGTGGCTAGACTGCCTGTCAGGTGTCCCAGAGTACCAGCCACTCACACACACACCCTCAGCCCTCTGAGCCTAACCCCAGGACCTTGAGCTTGGTCCATCATCACCAGCAGTGAATTCAGTGACAAAACAAGGCCAGCTCCATTTTTCTGTTGAGGTTAGTGCTTTCCTCAGGTGCCAGCTCCCAAGGCTTCTGGCACTAATTGGTAAATACCATGTATTTGCCTATCCCTCAGGGGCTGGAGTCACCTGTTTGTTACCTGCGGAATGCAGCTTTTTGGTTGACCTAAAGGCTAGTGTTTTCCATTGTCTGTGGTCAAGTTTGCTTGTCGAGCTCTCTTCAGCCTGGAGTGGGTGCTCAGCCTGATGTGCTGCCCACCTCATACCTCTGGGGAAGGCCCTTTTCCCCCTAGCCAGGCAATTTTTCAATTTGGGCAGTAGAGGCCCCTAGTAGAGCTCCTTCCCCACTCAGTGGGGAAGAGGAGTTGATCTGTGCTGCCTGCCTGGCCCAGTGTCCTGATAGCTGCTAATTGGCCCGGCTGGAGTAGAGGTGAGACCCTCCTAGAGAGGCCTGGTGTGCAGGCCGACTTCCTCAGTGCCAACATGAACTGTTCTCAGCCAATATCTATTTCCACTGAAGCCTAGCAGAGGTGGAAGAGCTAGGGAGGGGAGGGTCTGCCTTCCCTCTCAGGTGTCCCTCCTAAATTTG